TAGGGAAATGGGAATTGAAGGGATCTCAATTGGATTTGTTGCCCTCCTCCAAAGCTATACCTGTATAATGTTGATTTCATTTTTATAAACCTTCAAAAATCCTCCAGTGTTGGTGACTCTGCTGTCCCTGAAGGTGATGTACTTCAGAGCTTCCCTATTTTTATTGTCTACATGTTTTTTTTCCTAGTAGGTACCCTTGCTATAATCTTCTTGCTGTAAGTTAAACACATTGATACATGTCATATTGATCACAGAATTGTAAGAAAGTTCAGGGTGGAGGGGATCTCAGCAGGTCTCTAGTCAAACCTCCTGCTCAAAGTATGGTCAACTGTGAGATGGGACTAGGTTGCTCAAGGCTTTATCCAGCTCCTTGTAAATATCTAAGGATGGAGACTGAGCAACCTCTTTGGGCAACCTATTCCACTGCTTGATTCTCCTCATGGTGAAAAAGCTTTTCCTTATATCTAGTTTTAATTTCTCTTGTTTCAACTTATGTCCATTGTGTTTCATCCTCCTGCCCTGCACTACTGTGAAGAGCCTGGCTCCATCTCCTTCATAGCTTCCTTATGGGTATGGGGAGGCTGCTTTTAGGTCCTGCCAGGACCACCTCCTCTCCATGCTGGAGAATTCTAGTTCCCTCAGCTTTTCATCATAGGACAAGTGCTCCAGCCTCTGATCATCTTGGTGGCCCTCTGCTGAACTTACTCCAGTTTATTGATGTCTTTGAGGGACCTAAGACTAGATGTATTACTTTAAATATGATCTAACAAGTGCTGAGTAGAACAGAATATCCCTTGGTCTAGTGGCTGTGCCTCTGCTAATACAGTCCATAGACCATCCTTGCTGCCAGGGAACATTGCTGGCTCATATTTGGCTTGCTGTCTACCAAGACCCGCAGGTCATTTTCAGTTGTTCCCCAGCCAGTCAGTCCCCCCCAGCCTGCATTGTTTATTCCTCCCCAGCTGCAGGGCTTTGCATTTGTCCTTGTTGCATGTTGAAATGTTCCTGTTTGCCCATTCCTTGAGTGTGTCTACATACCTCTGAATGGTAGCCCTGCCCTCAGGCATATTGGCTGGTCCTCCCAATTTAGTGTCATCTGCAAACTATGTATTAAGAGCATATAAAAAGAGAAGTCCTGTTACCTTCTCTTGAAACTTTTAGCAGCATTATCATGCCTGCCATCAGTCTTGTGTTTGTTGAAACAGTCTGTTTTTTTTCAATTTTCTGATGTCAGTCATGGTTTCTAAACCTCTGATACTGTTACTGGTCTCGTCTAGTCTACTCTTTTCTTGACATTCAGTGTCCAAAGCTGGATGCATTATTTCACCTGGAATGTTTCATGCCAGTGTGATATTTGCCTTTTTGCTACAAAATAAGCTTGATATATTCAACTCTGGTCTACTATAACCCCTTGATCTTATTGTATAGAACCTGCTACAAAGCCAGATGTTTCCTATTGTGCAGTTGATTATTGCTTCCTTTGAACTTGTCATGGCACTTATTGAATTGCATCCTATTATTTTTTGATTGTTTCTCATCATATAAACTAAATTCTCAAATAATCTTGCAGTCTCCACCAGTTTGTTGTCATCTGTGAAATTAATTTAATAAGTGTGCACTCTATTTTGTGATCTAAGACACTCCTCATGAAACTATCAAGTAAAGCTGGGCCCAGACGAATGCCTGAAAAACCTGACTTGAAAAATCTTTTCTGTTGACAGTGGGTCATTGAACCAGCTGATTTTGTATGCATTGTATTGTTTTTTTAGAATATTTATGAAAATTTCATGTGTGGTACAGTGTGCAGTTGCAGGGATTTTTTTTCCAGATGTGAACTCCATGAGAACAAGTGCAACAGAAACCAATTCTGACTTTATTCCTCATTTACGTGATACTTACTTTATTAGGGTGTAGTGGAAAGTAGGGGCAGAAGACTCAATAATTGAGGGGAGAGTGATTTGTGAGGTCTGACCTTAGAATTATGGAGGGGAGAAGGTGGGCATTTGGGCTGTTAATAGGATGTGCTTTATAATATTGGATATTAGCTCTGAAGAAGCCTCAGTAATGTCTGTTTTGAGTATTTGTTGCTTGTAGCCTGGCCCAAAACCTCTGAAATATATGGGACTCCCTTCTTTTTGACTTCTGACCACATTTTTAATTTCTCCTTTGGAAGTTTAAAGCTTGCCAGTACTTCTTGCTTGTCTTTTACAGCAGTGAAGGAAGGGATCTGGCCTTTCTCCCTAAAGGAGAGCAGAGACGCGACAGTCAGGCAATATGCAGAAATGTACGGTTTAACTGCTTTTATTTTTAATTTCTTCCAAAAAGGGAACAGTGAAACTACAAATAGTATTAGCTAAAATGAAAGCCCTTCTACAGTGTGATTTTTATCTTACTATTAGTGCTTTTTGGGTTTTTCATAAAGCATATGCAGTTTGGAATATTTCTAACGTAACTAATTGTGGTCTTTAACGAGTTACCATTTTTTTTCTGTCCTTGTAGTTCAGTTAGCATCTGAATTTGGAACATATGGAATGTAGGAGAAATATTGTAATAAAATGTGTTTATTACAGAAGCTTATAATTCCTTTAATTATTCCTCAAAAGATACAATGCCATTATTTGTTAATGCTCTATTTTATGATAATAATAATAATAATTTAGACTGATGCAAATTTTACCATGTTAAAATATTTTTACAACCTGTAACATTTAAAATACATCTTTTTATTTAGGGTATTCTCTTGGTTTATGATATTACCAACGGCCAGAGCTTTGAAAATTTAGAAGACTGGTATAATGTGGTAAAAAAAGTGAATGAAGAATCAGAAACACAGCCACTTGTGGCCTTGGTTGGAAATAAGAGTAAGTTATTCATACTTAAATATTAATTGAAATACTTCGGATGTTGTGCTCTATCGAAGAAATGGCGCAGGGCATATATTTTTAGTAAAATGAAACTAAATACTGTCTTGTGTGTTGTTGCTGTGTACAGATGACATATTTGGGTGTACCTCAGGACTCTGGTTCTCAGCAGTTAGGTTGAGGGACTTGCTGCATCATGCTTTGCCTAGCCTACAGCCTCTCTGCCTGTGTCTTCTTTACTTGGAGAGCGGCACACAGGAGCAGAGAGAGATTTCTCACCCATGTTTGAATTTGATAGGGCTTCAGAATATAGACATGACATGTACCTAGAATGGAGAACTGGGAAGCATTCCTGGATTTAATAACAGTATATTTCATGGTTCTGTATGTCAAGAGACTGCTAAATTAAGTACTGGTATATATTATTTAGAATAACTGCACTACACACTAGGCATAATATTTATGAGTTGCTTATTAGGCTTTTTTTGCATGCTATCTGTAGTTTTGTACATGCATATTTCCTGTTGTTCTGGGATTTTTTAACCTGTCCTCTTTTTGATCGTGTAAGTGTGATGTAATGGTTTTCTTCTGACCACCAAAATATGCCACTTTAAATAGCCATCACCTAGTTAGTTTCCTAATTAGGTGGATTCCAAATTCCCCCATTTCCAGCTAAGAAATCTTACAGAAATGTCCTTATTAGCATATCTGAGATCTTGATCCTGGCAGTCTTACCCTTTTACTACTGAAGATGATAAAAGCAACATAAAGCAATTTTAGAAACAGTGGTGGAAACAAATACAGATTTTTTTTTTTTTTAACACTGTAAATATGTTTTTTTGAACAGCAAAAACCAGATTTGATTTTTGTTGACTATCCAAGTAATTTGTGTCCATGTCGCAATGTCTGTATCCTGAACAAACCTGGAAAAAAGACCTCATCCAGCAAGTTAATATTGTTTAAAAGCATTTGAAAACAATGTAGAGACAACACTTCCCTTCAGAACCATTAACTGTAGTGTTGCTACTGTGATGCTGTAACATTTGATGATATTAATTATGAAAGACTACTTATTTTCTGGGAAGAAAACAGAGAAGCTCTTAGAGTTACAATATATAAATAGCACTTCTGAAAGTATAACATAGACAGTGTTGTACTCTAGCAGACCAGAGTCAATAATACAGATTCTGTTGAAATTCAAATGAAAAATGTTTTTCACTGATTTATATTTTGCCCCAAAATTGGACTTCCTAGCTGGAGTTCTGCAAATCTTATGAAGTATTTACAGTAAGATACACTGTAACATGGGATAAATGATGTTCTTTTGCTGCAGTGACACCACAGAGGTAGAAAATCAGACACTGGTTTCCATTTGAAGGAGTTTTATTTCTGTTATATACCTTAAGTATATATATTTTTCTCATATACATGCCTGCAATTCTTTAAAATCCAAGTATTTCCTTGGGAGCATCTGCAAATAGAATATGGTTTCGTAGGTGAGTTTCCAGATAAAGGCTGACACTGACTAGTGAAAGGCCTTTAATTTTATGAAAATAGCAGCTGAAGGAACACTGTGCTTGCTACCTCATTCTCCTTCAGAAGCTGTGTATAAAGAAAAAAGCAAACTATTGCTTTCATGTGATCTTAAGGATGTTTGTTGTTGTTGCACATGTTGAGCATGCAGAGGGTGCAGTTTACAGAGGTCATTTTTTTGCTTTATTTCAGCATTATAAAAATTAAGCTTTTAGAAGTGTATTGATTTGCTGAATTCTGTAACAGGAGAATAATAACTAGGAGACCTTCCACCACAGTACTGTAATGACCTGTGAGAGGTAACTGTAGTCAGGCCTCTATTGTTACATAAATAGAGAACAAGGTAAGTGTTTATACAGAAGCATGGTGTTGACTCTTGCATATTATGAAAGGATAAAGCTGCCACTACTAACAAGTTCTTCAGGTGGAATCACAATCACTGTGTTCAGAACAGCTCAACTTCTTTCCTCAGTAAGTCATAAGACACTCGTACACAATGCAAGAGCAATAATAGGTTTAATGGCAAGAAAAGCCATTTGATGATTTGATGAACTTATTTGACCTCACGCATCATACAGGAGAAATACTTTCAGTCAGTAGTTTCTGTCTTTTTTGTTGTTGAGCTGTACATGTCTTTTAGGAAAATATCCAGGTATGCTCACTTAAAGACTAGAAACATCTGTATCCACAGGCAAGTTATTCTAACACTTAACTTTCTTTGTGATAAAAGTTTTAAAAGATTGCCAAGAACGCAGTTATTTTCATTCATAGCAACTGGAAAGCATTGGGCCAGTATTTAGATACCTAGATATGAATTTGGAAGCCCAGCTGAAACCATCCATTTTGAAACCTTGTTTTAAATTTAGTGCTGCTCTTTTAAGTATACTTAGCTTGGGCTTAGGCTCTCATTTGCACATTTTCACTGTCTGAAAGAAATGCACATTTTTCCATTTTGGGGTAAATACACTTGGGATCTCTGCTGAAGTGCTTCAGAAACAGCAATAAAGCCATAGTTTAAAAAAAAAAAGCTTGCAAGAAAACAATGGAAAATATTTTCCTTCACAATGAAATATAGAAAACTGTACACATGAATTCTATTAGATGAAAATAATATCCTTGGGTAATTTTGTCATTGAAAGCTAATTACTTCAGGTGTAGCAGTATGTGGTGCATAATTGTGTACTAGCTGTTAAATTGTCTGTAAAACTGCATGATTTATTAGTGTTTTGTTGTATCAATTTGTAGTCATTCTGTTAAACGTGTTAAGTTTGCAGGAATTTCTTCAGTATTCCACCAATTGTAATTTCTACATACAAAATTCCAATCAGTCTCCAGTCTCTCATCCATCAGAAATTAATTTGAAAATAATAGAGTAGTATGAATTGAGATCTCCTAAATTCTGGACCGACCTCCCCGCCCCCCCCGCCCCGTTTTTTCTTTTTTTCTTCAGGACTAGCTAAAATGAAGGACTGTGGTTGCCCACTAATTTATTAAAAATAATTGGCAGAACAAGAGCTTCAGAGATGCGGTCTTCCTTTGTGAAAGCAGTGATTTATTTAAGGTGACTGCCTTCCTCCTAGGTGCTTAGTTTTATTTTTCATTCTTTCTTCCTTCCCATGTATTTTTTTCCATAGCCTGACGTACACATTTGGTCAGAGAGAGTAGGAAACTGATTTGAATCAAGATCTTGCCCAGACCTGCTTTCTGCACTTATGTCCGATTATCAGTTACTTCTCTGTCTTTCCATAGATTTTTGTCTGTGTCCTTGGTAAACAACAAAAAGAATTGTAAAATTTAATGTAGAATTTTTCTTTTTATATTAATTGTAAGTTATAAAATCTTAATAATCCTAAAATTTACAGTTGGCATTGAATCTTAAATTTTACTTTCCTTGTAACTTACTTTGTGGTATTTTAATCTTATTTAATACAAAGTATATCTGAAGTGTGCTTATTTCTGTGTTGCTAATACCACTTCATTTGCACCAGAAATAAGGGAGTAAACCTTATTGTTAAGATTAACAAATGCTTTTGAGTTTCAATGCAGTAATTTAAAACTTTTGTAGATATGTTGCTGTCAAATACTTTGACTTACATTGTATAGTATAAATTAAACTATCAAGTGAATGAATTCTGTTTTGTGCATTTAGGATCTTTGCTTAAATTTGGTATTGACCAAGTTCAGTAATCGCAATGGGTCTTCTAGTCATTAGTGTGAATTAGAGAGGTTTTACTGTGTTTTGTATGACTAATGTGTTTCTTTCCTTTCTACCTTGACTACTTTATGTATTTTCCTCTGCACTAATCTATAAGCAGACTCCTCAAGTGTCTTACCAACATTTTCAGTGGATATATTGTAAACAAAAATTAACCCAGGTTGCATGGGAGCTACACTCATTTTGATTTATAGCTACCAAGATGGTCTTAGGGCGGTGGTTATCTGTAGCTTATATAGGGGGTAGGAATTATCAGGTACCAGTGTATAGTGGATGGATGAATGATTTCTATTCTTAGAGATATTAACCAGATCCACTCCTCAATAAAGACTAATAACTCAGATTTTTAAACAGTCTTCATGACAGATGAGGGCACAGAGGAGAATGCATCAACACTAATTAAGAATGTTGACCATTTGTTCGTCTTAGCCATGATTAATTGATCTTGGAGTGCTATCTCTGAACAGGAAGTGGTATGCTGTTACATTGTGAAGTTTAAAGGTTACATTTTAGTGTACCCTTTAACTTGCATTTACATACAACATAAAATGTTTTTACCTATCTTATCTGAGCTGAGAAAGAAACATTTTTCAGCCCAGATACAAATGAATGTTTGGTGTACTATGTACTAATGTGAATCTGGCTGGTAACAGGACATACCCAGGCTGCTTTTGGACTCTGTTACTGCCTTATACACTTAGTCTCCCCAGTGGTACTCAGAAAATTTCTTCATTAATACTCATTTTGAGACTCTGGCTTATTAAAATTCAGAACTATACATTCATTCTCCTGTCCCTCCCAACCTCCCCCAGCTATTTTCTGTTCTTGTTTCCTGTGGACTTGCACTTGTTAGGTCCTTCACCTGTAATTAAGACAAGGGTTGAGCAGCAAATGCAAAGACCTCTCTTCTTTTGAGTCTTAGGCCTGATTAAACTAAAGTTCCTGTATGCCTGACAGCAGGTCCAGTCACCTGAGCCTCACACATGCTGCTGGGATTGGAGGGTAAATCACTTACATGTAGAGACTCCCTTAAAAAGAAAACCTTGTCCTGTGCTACGGTCAATTTACCAACTCATTTGAATAAATGTAGAATGCTACCCTGTTTTAAAATATGTATAGAATGTTTGTCTCAACAAACTCATAAGATTAATAGAAAATTGCGGTCTTATGGATTTGTTTGTTTCAATGGTTGGGTAACTTTTTAAAAATCATTTTTAACAAGAAACTTAAATTAATGAAAGGGAAAATCACA